TCACTCTCCCCCTCACTCACTCACTTGGCATAATTCGCTTAAATAGGCAATTTAAAATTACCCAGTTTGTAGCGAGATCTAGAACGAAGGTCTTCACTAAATGTTGTGGTTAATGTAGTGACGTGGTCCCCCCAAGGTGGTCAGCTCTCTCTCTCTCTGTCTATCCTATCTATCTATCTCTATCTATCTATATCTATCTATCTATATCTATCTATCTATATCTATCTATCTATATCTATCTCTCTCGCCAACACCAGCCGTTATCACCCACAAGCGCTCACATGAACGGTTTTCCACTCATAAACCTCAATTACATTCATTGTTAAATGATATTAAATGATACGTTATCAGTTCATCTGCTGATGTGGCTGACGTTCTGTCTCCCACTGGCTGTGGTGGATATGTGGGCCTGCGGGCCGCTCCAAGCAACAGCCTGGTGGACCAAACTCTCACAAGTCAGGGGAGTAGAAGAACTTCCAGAACCCCATCAACCAGGTATCAAACAGGCTTGTGCTGTTGCAGCGAACAACCAATTAGCGAGTAATACGTCATCCGTATTGTTGCACTTCTCTGGTATTGTTTTCTTCAAACCACCTGTTGAAAAGGTCGGTTTAGTGCATGTAAACATATAACAAAATTTTTTTCAAGTATTGTTTTAACTTTATATGATTCGAAATAGGTACTTGAAGCCTGTTTAGTGAAAGTAATGACCTTGTTTTGTTATTTGTGCATTACAGTTCTTGAAGGTCAGGTTGGTGGTACATTCTCAACCAGTGTTGGGGTGGGTGAGGCCCACCACCAGTGTTGGGGTGGGTGAGGCCCTCCACCAGTGTTGGGGTGGGTGAGGCCCACCACCAGTGTTGGGGTGGGTGAGGCCCACCACCAGTGTTGGGGTGGGTGAGGCCCTCCACCAGTGTTGGGGTGGGTGAGGCCCACCACCAGTGTTGGGGTGGGTGAGGCCCACCACCAGTGTTGGGGTGGGTGAGGTCCACCACCACCAGTGTTGTGGTGGGTGAGGCCCTCCACCAGTGTTGGGGTGGGTGAGGCCCACCACCAGTGTTGGGGTGGGTGAGGCCCACCACCAGTGTTGGGGTGGGTGAGGCCCACCACCAGTGTTGGGGTGGGTGAGGCCCTCCACCACCAGTGTTGGGGTGGGTGAGGCCCTCCACCAGTGTTGGGGTGGGTGAGGCCCACCACCAGTGTTGGGGTGGGTGAGGCCCACCACCAGTGTTGGGGTGGGTGAGGCCCTCCACCAGTGTTGGGGTGGGTGAGGCCCTCCACCAGTGTTGGGGTGGGTGAGGCCCACCACCAGTGTTGTGGTGGGTGAGGCCCACCACCACCAGTGTTGGGGTGGGTGAGGCCCTCCACCAGTGCTGGGGTGGGTGAGGCCCACCACCAGTGTTGGGGTGGGTGAGGCCCACCACCAGTGTTGGGGTGGGTGAGGCCCTCCACCAGTGTTGGGGTGGGTGAGGTTCACCACCAGTGTTGTGGTGGGTGAGGCCCTCCACCAGTGTTGTGGTGGGTGAGGCCCACCACCAGTGTTGGGGTGGGTGAGGTCCCACCACCAGTGTTGTGGTGGGTGAGGTCCACCACCAGTGTTGGGGTGGGTGAGGCCCTCCAGCAGTGTTGGGGTGGGTGAGGTCCCACCACCAGTGTTGGGGTGGGTGAGGTCCCACCACCAGTGTTGTGGTGGGTGAGGCCCACCACCAGTGTTGGGGTGGGTGAGGCCCACCACCAGTGTTGGGGTGGGTGAGGCCCACCACCAGTGTTGGGGTGGGTGAGGCCCACCACCAGTGTTGGGGTGGGTGAGGTCCCACCACCAGTGTTGTGGTGGGTGAGGCCCACCACCAGTGTTGGGGTGGGTGAGGCCCACCACCAGTGTTGGGGTGGGTGAGGCCCACCACCAGTGTTGGGGTGGGTGAGGCCCACCACCAGTGTTGGGGTGGAGGCCGGGCTTGAGGAGAAGAACAACTCCCAGAACCCCATCAACCAGGTACTCACCTAGTTGTGCTTGCGAGGGTTGAGCTTTGGCTCTTTGGTCCCGCCTCTCAACTCTGTGTGAATGGATCTGAACACAAATGTTACAAGTGAAATAAAACATAGATGTTCATTTTCAGTTTTAAATTACCAATAAGTGTCTTTCTTCTTTTACAGGTGAGCTTGGAACAGGTTGGGCATGTGTAGAGGGGCAGGCCAAGTGCCACCTTACTGGCACTGGTATAGTGGCATAGGAGATCTGGGAAGAGCCATGTTCCTGGTATAAGTGAGTAGGTCTATTGTTTTACTTATTGACAGCTCTCACCCTCTTCTGTCTGTGGTGGGTATGACTGGACATGATCGCTACATGCGAGATACTGAGGTGAGACAAGGTGGACAAGGACAGCCTCTTTCACGTGCGAGAAAGTAGAAGAGGACACAGGTGGAAGCTGGAAACGCAATTGAGTCGAGGAAATGTATGGAAATACTTGTACTTGTACGGGAACCGGTCGGCCGAGCGGACAGCACGCTGGACTTGTGATCCTGTGGTCCTGGGTTCGATCCCGGGCGCCGGCGAGAAACAATGGGCAGAGTTTCTTTCACTCTATGCCCTTGTTACCTAGCAGTAAAATAGGTACCTGGGTGTTAGTCAGCTGTCACGGGCTGCTTCCTAGGGGTGGAGGCTTGGTCGAGGACCGGGCCGCGGGGACACTAAAGCCCCGAAATCATCTCAAGATAACCTCAAGGTAAGGTACCCTGTATGAGTGGTCACGGTGTGGAATATTCTGATATCACTAGTTATGGAAGCCACCTCCATCTACACCTAGACCAGGAGACAGATTCACGAAGCAGTTACGCAAGCACTTAGGACCCTGTACATCTTTTCTCAATCTTTGGCGGTTTTGTTTACAATTATTAAACAGTTAATGAGCTCCGAAGCACCAGGAGGCTGTTTATAACAATAACAACAGTTGATTGAGAAGTTTTCATGCTTGTAAACTGTTTAATAAATGTAACCAAAGCCGTCAAAGATTGAGGAAAGATGTACACGTTCGTAAGCGCTTGCGTAACTGCTTCGTGAATCTGGCCGTAGATTCCACAAAGAATTTTAACGTCAGAAACTTAACTTGAAACGCAATGGGTAGAACATAACTAATAGGCGGGGCATGAGGAGGTAGACCTCACTTCTCCGTAGGCGCAGTTAGGCTATACTACCTGGACCATTCCTGGGGAAGGTTTCAAGAGTTCTTCTACTCCCCGAGCCCGGCCTGAGGCCAGGCTCGACCCGGCCTAATATTGGCGGGAAGTGAAAGATATATTTTCTCATTAACAGTTACATAGAGGTCTTAAGCAGCTGCTAAAGATGTTCAAGATTTGGAGGTTCTTCTCGTACAGACACCTGCCATAGGTAACTATATATATATATATATATATATATATATATATATATATATATATATATATATATATATATATATATATATATATATATATATATATTAACAATCTTTGGACAACACCCACCAGTGGAACTCGAACCCAGAAAGCACAACTACCTTCCAGTAGCTGCCATAACTAGTATGCTTTAACCCACGGTAGTGGGTTAAAGCATACTAGTTATGGCAGCTACTGGAAGGTAGTTGTGCTTTCTGGGTTCGAGTCCCACTGGTGGGTGTTGTCCAAAGATTGTTAATCTTCACTTGTGGTTTATGCAAGTATAGGCTTATATATATATATATATATATATATATATATATATATATATATATATATATATATATATATATATATATATATATATATATATAATATATCTTTCTCCCTCCTCCTCCTCCCTCTGAGTGACAGCTGTCATAACTTGGTGTTTATCAACACGTCAAGAGTCACGCGCTCGTTAAGTCAGTTTAACGACCTAATTACCCCAATTTTGTGTTGTTAATTGCTCAATGACACAATCAGCGCCTCGGAGGGTGCGGGCTGACGACTCCCAGGATGGCTGTGGAAGAACTCGTACTGCGTCGCATTATCGGTGCTTTGCCACCTTATAAATGGTTGCCTTGTTCGTCCTGGGGAAATTATAGATTAAAAACTGGTGAAATGTCAATGAAATTGATTTCGAGGCATTTGAGGAGACTCGAACCTGTGTTCTGGGGGTTCCCGGACACCTGATTTTACCATACTTTATTTCTCCAAGCCTAGGGTTAAAATTTGGTAAGTAAAAATGGTTTATTAATGTTATCCTGTATGCTTTTTTTACCCTTAATTTCCCGTTATGTTCATCTTTATTATTTATGTATTTTGTTATTATTTGGTATATTTATAATGTCTTTATTTTCCGTACGCTGGGAGGAGTCTTTTTTTTTGTTTTGCAATTTAGTTTTTTTTTGTTTATTTGTGCGTTAGGTCTAAGTGGAGGCGGCTAGACCTGTTAGTATACCCTCTTCTACCCCTAAGTCACCCCTGTCCCCACCATGTAGAGTGGTTCACCCCTGCACCCCCTCCTAGACCATGTAGAGTTACACAACCCCCTCCCTTACCTTGAGGTTACCTTGAGGTGCTTCCGGGGCTTGGCGACCCCGCGGCCCGGTCGTCGACCAGGCCTCCTGGTTGCTGGATTGATCAACCAGGCTGTTGGACGCGGCTGCTCGCAGCCTGACGTATGAATCACAGCCTAACTACTGACTACATAGAGTTAGGTAATCCGTAGAGTATTATATAATCCATAGAGTTACATAGAGTTGGTAATCCCTGGCTACATAGACCTATTAAATCCCCCCCTCCCTCCCCCTCCTCCCCCCTGACCACATAGACCTGAACTATCCCCCCCCTCCATAAGTCTGGTCGACTACCCCCTCCCACCGTCCGCAGGTCTGGTCGACTACCCCCTCCCCCCCTCCATAAGTCTGGTCGACTACCCCCTCCCACCGCCCGCAGGTCTGGTCGACCGCCCATTTGACTGCTAGCATTCCCTGCTTTATTTGGTTCTGTTGCTTTAGTTTGGTGTTTTGTCTTCCCCCGAGCAGGGTGGCGGTCGAGGACCAGCATGACGCTCAAGACCTGGCTCTCCGGCACCTACGGCGCCTCCCACAAGAACACTAAGACCACCGTCGACATCTTGGCCTCCCACGAGGTGCCCAACCAGTCCGTCCTCGGCCTCTCCAAGGGTCTCAGTTCCCTCCAAAATGGCGACGTGACACTCCGCCGGGCGCTTAAGAATCCGTTTTCTACGCTGACGAACGCGGGAAGCCGCGAATGGCGCGTCAGGAGCGTCGAAGACGTCGTTGACGCCGAAGGAGGAGATTACGGGTTTTTGGAGTATTACTCCCTTAGGAGGACGACGTCGCGGGACACGGCGCTGACCGACCCGAGACCGAGTCTCACCTACGGCACCTGGAGCCGCCTCAACGGCAGCTGGGGGAGGTGGGCGGACGCCAGTCCGGCGCAGTTCTACCCGGGCACCTTCACCCGCGGCGACAAGAACGACCGTAAACACGGCAGTGTGGACCACAGACCTCGTAATTACCACATGGACGACCCCTGGAGACCCGACGACATGCGCACCTCCACTCCTCTCTCCACCATGTCGTCCCTCCACGACCTGCCTGCGCCTCCCACCGCGCAACAGTCACAACAGACGGGTAACTCCGCAGAAACGACGAGACGAGGGATAGTCAAACGCAACTCGCTGCTGTGGCGGCTGCGGCCGGATAGGTGGAGAGGGACGGATGGCTCGCTTCGTCGCGTCCGCAGCCGGGACGACGGGCTGGACTTGAGCCGCAGCCGTCGGAAAAGTGACCTGGGGGCGTCTCAGCCGGATCTGCTGACGTCACACAGAGCTCCCGGTGAACCGGTTCGGTGTGACGTGGTGTGCCCGGCGCCGTTCTCTATACTGCCGCCCACGACGCGTCGTGCCGCGCACAGCGAGACGCTGCCTCGTCGCTCGCGCCACGCTAGTAAAGAGAACTGCACGAGTACTTTACTGGCACGTGGGCGGCGCTGGCTGCACGGCGCCAGCCTGGGGCGTGCCGACTGTATCATGGACCGGGAGGAGTCCGAGCTGGTAGTCCGCCCGGAGACTATGTTGCCGCATAGTCTCTCCTCAGTGGCCAACATGACCAACATGGCCTGTGTAAATAATTATAAGAACGCTCTGAATGGTCCTTCAGTGGGCGGGCCGCCCATGTTTGGCAGTTTGGGGCGGGAGGCGGGCGAGGGCGACCTATGGCGGCGAGGACGAGCTCGCTCGAGGCGGCCTCGAACTTTTTACCTTTTGGAGGACTACCTCTCGCCAGTGAGGAGCACAGGCGTGGCTCCCGCCGGGGTGGTCCTCGACGAGTACGTGGGTCACGGGCCTCGTCTCGTGTTCCGCGAGGTGTCCAACGACACCCCCCAGCGGCCCCTGCCCCCCACCCCAGAGTGGGACACCCCCTCCCTCTCCCCGCCCTCGAGTATCATGAATGGCCACCACCCCACGCCCCTCCAGTACCACGCCTCGCATGCCGGCGGACATGGCGTCTACGTCGACGCCATTATCCCTTCTCCGGAGAAGAGTTGCGGTTCGAGCCTCTATTCTCCGGTATTCTCCCCGCGGGACTCTGGCTACCCGCGGTTTATCACCCCGGAATTGGCCCTTCCGGAACGGGCGCCCCCGCCCGTGTCGGGTCTGCCCCCGCCCACACACGCCCACACTCGCAACTGCCGCAGTCTGGAGTATGAGGGCTGCCGCAAGACCTCTCACACTCACAAGGTAGGCCGCCCCCAACCGGTTCAGTTCTGGGTTGTGGCATGTTACTGGTGGTGGGATTGGTGGTGGGATTGGTGGTGGGATTGGTGGTGTTTTAAGTACAACATATTTGCTTTATTTGATATTTAGAGACGTCTTGAAGGAGTAACTTACAGCAACACCTGGAGACATCTCGAAGGACGTGACAGGAAATGTCTATCTTGCCTAACAAGTTGCTAAAATTCGTGAATTTGAAATTTGACTTGTGTTAAACCGTTACACATAATTTTGTGTAGGTTTCTTCCATAATTATGTGCTCTCCATATATATATAATATATAAATGGTTGACTATCAAGTTCCTATATTAATAAAACAGTTGTAGTTTATTATAGTCATCCAAGAACAGTTTCCATTTTCTCTTAATGTCGTGCTCATGTTCTGTTGGGCGCGTCACTGCAGGTATAACTGAATCAAACGGACTTTAGTCCCACTGACGGGAGACATCTCCCGTCACGCAAGGTGCAGTCGCACCTCCACAGATCTCCAGTATCAGCTCTTGATACTGGTAATGGCTCAAAAGGGCCACCACTTACGGGCTATTCATGCCCGTGCCACGTTTTGGATGTCTTAATCTTCATCAATCAATCAATCAATCAATCTTTAGTTCGACGGAGCTTGCGAGCCTCTTCCTGGCAGCTCACCCCGAGCCTGAGGACGGTCACACACACGCGTAAATAACAGAAAGATTACCCCCCGAACAACCCAGCCACTTGGGCTGGATGGTAGAGCAACGGTCTCGCTTCATGCAGGTCGGTGTTCAATCCCCGACCGTCCATAAGTGGTTGGGTACCATTCTTTTGCCCCCGTCCCATCCCAAATCCTTATCCTGAAAGTCAGTGCTTCACCCACGTACTACAAGCACAAATGATCGCCAAGAGAATTATATGTATTGAATGCGATCCACAGAATGCGTCTGTGGGGTCGACCGCTGGATGGAATGGACTTAGTCTGAGGACGGATGTTGTACAGAGCCAGATGTACAATTTGCCAATGGGCAAAGTTTCTTTCACCCTGAATGCCCCTGTTACCTAGCAGTAAATAGGAACCTGGGAGTTAGTCAGCTGTCACGGGCTGCTTCCTGGGGTGTGTGTGTGTGTGTGGAAAAAAAGGTAGTTAGTAAACAATTGATTGACAGTTGAGAGGCGGGCCGAAAGAGCAAAGCTCAACCCACGCAAACACAACTAGGTGAATACACACACACACACACACACACACACACACACACACACACATGGTGCATGTAGTCTATACCACTCTTATAGTTTAGTGGAACCGCCTTATTTTGGGAAATGTGAGGCGAGGTCTAAAGAAGCTTGAAAAAAAATGGTTACCATACTGTAGGTTGTTACAGACTTGTGTTCAACTCGACGTCTAACTTAAATTAGCAATTTTGACCAAAACTCGCTCGTCTGTATATAAAGGTAATTTGACGTTTGGGTCGTTGATAATGGCCCGGGGGCGGCCCGGGGCGTCCCGAAACCTCGTCATACTTTATTTTGAGACGTGAGGGTTGTCACTTTGTCACGACAGCCCGTCCATGGACAGCCCTCCAAACTAAGACCCAAAGGCCATTCCATCCACTCGCCAACCCCCCCCCCCCCCCCGCTGTTTATGAATGAGAAACGGTTTACACACGACACAGGAGGGAGCCGGTCGGCCGAGCGGACAGCACACTGGACTTGTAATCTTGTGGTCCTGGGTTCGGTCCCAGGCGCCGGCAAGAAACAATGGGCAAAAGTTTTTCACCCCATGCCCCTGTTACCTAGCAGTAAAAATAGGTACCTGGGTGTTAGTCAGCTGTCACGGGCTGCTTCCTGGGGGTGGAGGCCTGGTCGAGGACCGGGCCGCGGGGACACTGAAGCCCCGAAATCATCTCAAGATAACCTCAAGATAACGACTCACAACTGATGACGTTCGAACACTTCCGGAACAAGTGCTTCACTGACAACGCTATAAATGCTTCACCCACGTACTACAAATACAAATAATCGCCAACAGAACCTAAACACCTAACCTAACCTATGCCTATATATGCACAATACGCAAATATATTATAATTATTTATATTTAAGAAAATTCCTGTTTTGAATTAACAGCATGTAAAAATTTATGAATGCGTCTGTGGGGTCGACCACTGGATGGAATGAACTTGAGGACGGGTTGAATCGTCAGAACTTTGACTACGGATCTAACCTACCGAAGCCGATGTTCAGGAGGTCCATCAACCGTCAATATTGCGGTGTTTTTAATATTCCTAAACCACCACAATTTGGTCGTTACGTAGACAATGTAGTGGGTTCATTAGGAGAGGGTAGTTGGTCACTGTTGAGGATGGGGCCAAAGGAGTGACCTCTGACCTGTGCTGTATAGAGGTCATGCCTCACACTACTGGTACCAGTTTTTTTTTTTTTTTTTTTTTTTTTTTTTTTTTTTTTTTTTTTTTTTTTTTTTTTTTTGTACTTGGGCTCATGGTTTCGTGTTGGGCCTAAGGCCTATCATTCCTGTGAAGGGTTAAGACCACCACTTTTACGGGTTGACAGATGTTAATCTTCTTGTTTGAGGAGCTGTTCACTTGAGACAGTTAAGCAAGTCCCAGCTGTGTCTGGGTACAAGTGACAGGATGAACAACCCAGCGGGTTTTCTTCCTATTGGGGAGTGTTGTACATGCTGCTATGGCGGTGTGTCCACTCACAGGATGAGTGGCGCTGCCCAATACTGTCACTATGGCGGTGTGTCCACTCACAGGATGAGTGGCGCTGCCCAATACTGTCACTATGGCGGTGTGTCCACTCACAGGATGAGTGGCGCTGCCCAATACTGTCACTATGGCGGTGTGTCCACTCACAAGATGAGTGGCGCTGCCCAATACTGTCACTATGGTGGTGTGTCCACTCACAGGATGAGTGGCGCTGCCCAATACTGTCACTATGGCGGTGTGTCCACTCACAGGATGAGTGACGCTGCCCAATACTGTCACTATGGCGGTGTGTCCACTCACAGGATGAGTGACGCTGCCCAATACTGTCACTATGGCGGTGTGTCCACTCACAGGATGAGTGGCGCTGCCCAATACTGTCACTATGGCGGTGTGTCCACTCACAGGATGAGTGACGCTGCCCAATACTGTCACTATGGCGGTGTGTCCACTCACAGGACGAGTGGTGCTGCCCAATACTGTCACTATGGCGGTGTGTCCACTCACAGGATGAGTGGCGCTGCCCAATACTGTCACTATGGCGGTGTGTCCACTCACAGGATGAGTGGCGCTGCCCAATACTGTCACTATGGCGGTGTGTCCACTCACAGGATGAGTGGCGCTGCCCAATACTGTCACTATGGCGGTGTGTCCACTCACAAGATGAGTGGCGCTGCCCAATACTGTCACTATGGCGGTGTGTCCACTCACAAGATGAGTGGCGCTGCCCAATACTGTCACTATGGCGGTGTGTCCACTCACAGTATGAGTGGCGCTGCCCAATACTGTCACTATGGCGGTGTGTCCACTCACAGAAAGAGTGACGCTGCCCAATACTGTCACTATGGCGGTGTGTCCACTCACAGGACGAGTGGTGCTGCCCAATACTGTCACTATGGCGGTGTGTCCACTCACAGGATGAGTGGCGCTGCCCAATACTGTCACTATGGCGGTGTGTCCACTCACAGGATGAGTGGCGCTGCCCAATACTGTCACTATGGCGGTGTGTCCACTCACAGGATGAGTGACGCTGCCCAATACTGTCACTATGGCGGTGTGTCCACCCACAGGATGAGTGCCGCTGCCCAATACTGTCACTATGGCGGTGTGTCCACTCACAGGATGAGTGACGCTGCCCAATACTGTCACTATGGCGGTGTGTCCACTGACAGGACGAGTGACGCTGCCCAATAAACTCGCCCCTCGGGGCAAAATTAAAAAAAAAAAAAAGTCCCAGTTGACCAGTAAGTATACTATAGGTCCGGATATAGCCCAGGACATATATATCCCTCGCTGTATATGCACAGACAAGCGGATATACATCTCTAGATGTTCATATTCCTGTATTTTACCTCCTTTCCTGACGATATATATAAGCTGCACCCGCCTCGTTGGCTGATAAAACTCCCTGATTGGTTCCCTCGCAGTAGCAGAGTTTCCATTGGCTGACATAGGAGCTACCTGTCAAGCGTGGAGGCTTCCGACTGCACCATTTATTGTGATATTCTGGTGTCAATTTGTCCGTTTCTGGGGTAGTCGGTCACTCCGCGGTAAAGGTGATAGGTCGAAGAGGCTTTAAATTAGCCTCGTACAATAGGTATTTCTGGAGTGGCTGGACTAATGGAGTCAAGTCTTGGATATGGTAACAGCGGAGTTGGTGTTGTGTCGTACTAACTGTTGGTTCTGGCTGCTCGCACGGCGACGTTGGCTTCTCAGGGAGGTGTTGAAATGTGTCTTATTAATATGTTAATGATGCATATTGTATTGAAGAGGTGTGGAATTATATATATATATATATATATATATATATATATATATATATATATATATATATATATATATATATATATATATATATATATATATATATATATATATATATATATATATATATATATATATATATATATATATATATATATATATATATATATATATATATATATATATATAGGACTATAACTGACCTAAAGACCCGGTCATTAGGTCAGTTATTGTCTTTAAACGAAAGTATTGTAGCGAGGTCAGTTATCGTCTGTCTGTCAAGTTCCCGCCAACTGTGTGTTCCTCTCTCTTCCCCTCTCCCTTCCCCTCACCCTCTCTTCCCCCCCCCCCCCCCCCACTGCATTCCTCTCGTCAGTTCTCCAATCATTTGGGCTCGGGAGTCGAAGTGAGGTTGGCCGGGGTTGACGGCTGTAGAGTGACGTCAGCAGCGAGAGCCAATCAATGTGAGTGTTGGTCAGCTTGTGTGTGTTGGACGGTCAGCCA